TAACATTTTGTTAATAAAAAATGTTTAAATTTGAGTCGACAATCAAAATAAGTAACAATATACAGGCAGGTTCCATTAAAAAAAATACAATTCTCCCAACTTTCTGAACGACCCTGTATATTTCAATTTATCACAGATGTGTAGATTTTTAACACCCTACAACTTTTATATAAACATATTTTGATAACCCTGCTTATTTTGAAATAATCAACCGTTCTGGTAGTTTTTCCTAACCCTGTATATTATTTAGTCAATGAAAATCCTGCTCCTTTTATAACCTTCCGCATTAAAATGTTAAATTTAAAAAAAAACATACCAGGTGAATACTCCAAAACCGAACATGGCGAAAAGGTTTTTTTTGCAGATATTAGGCAATAAATCCAATTACCAAAATCATGTCGTGCAACCTTGATTAATAAAATGGTTTTTTAACGTAACTCTCCACTCCATATATAGCGCAATGAAATGTTTTGCACCTTGGACCCCAACGCTTTTGTGGTAACAATTTATTTAAATGCGAGCACCTTAATCCAAGAGTGCAATGATCCGCAAGTATTCACGTAGGTATTAAGAAAGTAATTTATTCACACTGTTTTCAATTGTACATAATTCCGCCGTCCATTATTTTTCATTACACGACGAGGTTTCTTATTTGCCCACGACTATAAATTCGTCAAAAATGGTAGCACAATCTTTGGTTGCGCAGCTGACCACTCACACAATTATCACCTTGAAAGCCCGACGAGGAATTTCGCTTTCCTTATGCAGGTTTTTCCCGGCTAAGAAAAATTCAATCCGTGATTGAAAAATTTAGCGCTCCACTTGGATAGATTCTCTTCAAAGGTTTGGGTAAGAATCTCCATCTCCCACCAAATTTTTACTTAAATACGCCAACGTCACGATTGATTATTGACGTCAAATAAATAATGGTTTAAAGATTAGTGCGATTTTTAGCAAATACTAATATTTCGATTAATTTCGTGTTTAACGCCTATTTTAGTATGAAACAGAAACTCTAAATGGAACATTTTTTAAACAATTGTTTTCATATCGATTAGAATTTAACGCGAACATACTATTTGGTAAAAAAGCGGTTGTCCAAAGCCATCATTTATCAGAAAAATGTTGTAAGAATGTTCTCGGAAAGTTCACACTTAGAACCCACTCTGGGTTAGATTTCTAACGTTGAATTTGATAACCTTTGGTGAACGTAATTGGCGATGAACAAGAAGAATGCGAAAATAGATCGATTTAAGTCCGGTTTGTATACCAGGACATAAACGTCAAAATCCCATACGTATCAAGGTCAATCAGCACATTTTTGAATAATTTTACGTTTTAGGTAAAATTTAAATTTTGTTTTTTGTTTTCTTTTTTACAGTCTCTCGAGCGCGAAGCTATAATGATCGCCTGTGGTCACTTGCCAACCATGCCGTATCCCTGTAATAACTAAGTGGAATAACAAAATCCAGACACTTTTCTGAGTTAGCAGTTCGCAGCGACTGTTTAATCCATTTTCCTACTTATAATTGGCTCAATATGTCCTTTACGAATACTGAGCTCTAAAAGCCGCTGTCTCGTCGATAAATATTCTATACTCCACCACCCACCCGATGTAAAAATACTTACAGCTCCTGGACGGTCTTTGTTACAGCTTCCAACAAAATAAAAAAATTTCAGCCGATTTCACATTGTTACCAAATATTATGAAAACGGCTGCTTTCAGGTATAAAAAACATAAAAATGAATTTGCCATTTTCGGCAAAATACTAACACTCTTTATGTACAGTGTCCGAGATAAGTAAGGTTACTTTGGACATTCCTGAAATGGTAAGAGATACAAATTTGATTAAATGGGAGAAAAATTACGCAGATAGCGTTTAAAAATTCATGAATAATTTTTTTTGTTTTTGAGATATTTTGAAAAATAATTAAGAAGTACACGAGTTTTGATTAGCCTAACGGGTCTCTCTGATCGTTATCTTTAACTGAAATCCAACTAACTAACTCGTAGTCGTTCTAATTTTAGATGCAATATTTTGGTAATATGTAGCGTTTAATATTGGGTCGAAGGGAAGGGGGATTTTAACTTGTAAAGGAAGCGCTCGGGGGATAGTCGAAGATATCAGTTGACAGAAAAAAAGATGTAGAAATGTACAACTTAAGCGGACATCTTACATAGTACAATAATGGTGCAATTTGGTCGTATAATGAGAGTGACGTGTTACCTACTAAATATGTACACAAAGTGCGAACTCACTATAGGAATACTGCCAAGGTAATATCTTTTCATTTATATTGAATAATTGAACAGAATACGTAATTTAATATTGCTTTTGTTTATAAGTCATAAAACTTAGTGGTCTAATTGCTTCGATTATGGGAGCGCAAATGCCGCCGTAATTATATTTAACATGTGGAAATTGTGCATTGTACGTAATTATAATTAATTATAATTTAACCCTTCTGAGGCGGTCAACTATTTGTAATTGGAAGTAAGTTTGCTAATTACGCAAGCTGCTAGTAGATAATATTAAGTTAACTGACATGATTTATTAGTTCCTCCTGTTACAACGCACTCATATTTTAATTTTATTCCTTCACGAATATGCGTTGAAGTGTGTCATAGAAGGTTCTACTGGTTTATGCGGGTTTTGGAATGTTTATTGCGGCTGACAGACCGCAGGATATTTCGCCCCCAATAGCAGTCCGCGCTTCTGTCGTCAATCGGTGTCGAGTACTGTCATTTATGCGCTCGCTCGTAAGTAGATCGAAAATTAAGGGTTTCAGTCAAGGAAACATACCTCGCCATATCCGGCCTTACAGTCACCAACTCCTGGATATACAGCCAATAAAATCTGGCTCAAAAGATGGAGGATCAGTGATGTCGTTGTGGACTGTATCGCGCATACGGGTAGGCGGTAAAGGTGATGCCGTTAGTTTAGGGAAACGTTTAAAGAAACCTAACACTGTTTCAGGCACTCAGGTGTGTTACTATCACGATAATTTAGAACGCGTAACATCCGGTTGTATTGTACTGTCTGCTGTCTTTGCTTAGATGCCAGTGTGTCGCTTTGGCTTAGATTAAGGCATGAAAAGCAGTTTGTAAAAATACAAGCTACTCGTTTAGTAATTATTTAATATCACTTGAACCTCGAGTTTAGTAGCAATTTGACCACAGTTTGTTCAGTTTATTTTATTCAGATGATGAACTACGAAAAATTTTTTTTTACTGCGTAACTTGAGTAATAATCTTGAGCATACAGTTTTCCCAATGGCAATAGATTCAAATCATTCAATTTTATTATGTGGGTATTTAATGCCATTTGACTATTCTGGAACGCTTTCTAATTACCGAGGAAGATTGTCTATTCCATGGCGCATTCATTTTAAAATGCTTGTATGGCTTGCAGATTGCAGAAGCATTTCTAAAATGTTAACCTAAATAACTCTTGTTATGTCTTTCATTTACCTTGTCTCTGTGGTACTTCAAATAAACGAACTGGCAAACGACGACCTCAAAATTGTAACTTAGAATGCCACAACGTAAAATCTAGGGTCCTAACACGAGGAGGCCCGAGTTTGGGAGAAGGGGAGTGGTATAATAATCATTGTAATCATCCCTGTCTCACTACAGTACCTAAAATTTTCTTTATACTAGGTACTATCTGAAGTTGTGACAGTTTGCAAAGTTAATTTGGAGGAGATTTTAGATAGACCTCTAGAACATGAAAGATAATTGGGCAATTTAACATATTTCTTATCTAATTTACTAGAACAACTCCCTAACGCGGTCACATGTTTATCTGCTTTCTTAATCTATGTTTCCTAATTAAGTTCACAATTAATTCTTAGAAAAAATCGTTGCACACAAATTCTTTGAAGGTGCCAAATTCTTTAATGTAATTTGGTGTGAAAGTGGAAAATTAATTAATCTATGAATCAAAAAGTTGAATGAAGCATGTTTATACTACCTATATGAGTGTTTCGAATCGTTAGTTATAAACCTCTGTATCATTACGATAAATATCTGTATCTAAACGGGATACATTTCTTCAGCCACCAATTTATATCAGTCTATTGGTAGCTTCTTTTGAAAAGGTAAATTTGGATATTTTGGATTTAGTTGAGCGACAAACCTGAGGGGAACAAAGGCAAATAGTTCAACTCGTGTTGTATGTACCTACATCCCATCTTAAATTTGTTGTCCAACACTCCTACCAACTTGTTTAAAGAATTTGCAGTTAATTTGGAAAAAAGTTTGACCCATACAAATGCATTGATTACAATGGGTAGTAGCTTATTTACAAAAGGAGTTTACACAAATACTTCAACGAGGTTCAAACCGCAGAAATGTTAGCGTTGTCGGTAGCATGCAAGTAAAGATGTCTGTTCAATTTGTGATCCTTTACGTGCAAATTAATACTCGCCGTAAAAAATACATTATCCCTGCCGAGCAAAAGTATTATTTACTAAGAAATATTAAGGTACAACTTTGTAAATGCACTTATATTAAAACAACTTCAATAAAAGCGCAGTGCAAAGAAACGACATTTTGATTACGAGGCGGTGAGCATAATTTTGACTCATCAGTGGATTTCATTCGTTTTTGATTGTCATAATTTGCACTTGAACACTTTTTAATATGACCTCAAGTAGTTATTATATTAATTTTGTTTTTGATACCGGAATTTTATTCTAAATAAGGGGAGACATATCATTAAATTTCAATTTAGTGCAGTCGATTATTAAGAATTGTTTAATTAGCGCGATGCCGTTTTATGGCAGGATGTTTTTCGTAGTAGTCGATATTATAATAACAAATCGCTCATGAATCGATCGTTTTCAATGAATATCTGGAGAGGTGCGGAGTGTCGTGTACGTGCCTTTCCGGTGGAGAGATTACGTGAGCGTCTAACTTCTTCGAGTTTCCCATCGTCTACAACTCGTTTTTAGTTGGTATCTACATCAGATTCTATAACGCCATTCTTCTTTTACAGATACTAGAATGATGTGGATGGAAACTGCAAAGAAAGACTTGCTAATAAGGGAATCGGATGCCGATAGTGATAGTAGCGGTGAAGAGTTGCCAATTTGGATTAGAGGTGAACAGCGGTGGGTGTCCGGGGTTGTTGCTGAAACTACGTGCCAAGACATCGTTTCCGTTCTGTTAAGGGACGAAGAATCCAGGGTAGGTAATTCACATTCGCGTTGATTGGCGTGTAGACGGCCTATTTCAGGGTCACTACGTAAATGAATCGGAACTTTACCACATCACAGAAAGATGGAGAGGCGTCGAACAGCCATTAGATCCACAAGCAGCCATTTTAGATATTTGGAACGCGTGGGGTACAGCACAACCAGAGGTTTGCATTTAGTTAATTTTTACAGTTTGCGCGATTCACGTAGATACCTTTTGCCCAAGTAAATCACAAGTGCTATTACATCCATTCGATATGCTCCGTTCGGCATATCGTCATTTCCGCATTGTTCAAAATTCAAGAAACCAAAGTTAGAAGTAATTGTACTTCAATTATATATTATTATTCTTTAATTTTTATCGCAACCTATCATAATTTAAACTTCTGAACTGTGACACCCTCACGTTAGACAGTTCATGCGTTACTTTTACCACTTTACCAACCTTCGAATCTGCGCGGACACTTTTTTCTTACTTTTCATCCGCGCGAACGCCAATATCACCAACCTGTCAATTTGATGATCTTTCAAGGGTTAATATAAAAGCAATGTCTTCTTTTTAAAGGCCCCATGCTTCCGGTCTCAAGTGAGGCATTTAGACTTTTCAGTTCGGGGCCCAATGGCAACCTTTGGAAGCAAACTTAAATGTAAGAACCAAGACGGGAAAAAAGGAAATCTTCACAACATTAACAGGGCCTTTCTTCTTTCAGATGCGGTCAGTGACGACCATATGCATATTTTATGTTGTGCAGAACATTGATTGCACTTTTCAAATATCGTAAAAAAATATAGGCATTTCATTTGAAAAACAAAAGTTGCATCGATTTTCGGTTACACCAGAAGTTTGAATATGTGACCAGATAAATGTCCCATATAAAATTATATTTAACAAATTTTTCGTATCTCGCCAAATAAAAGAGATATTGAGGTGACCCTCTTATCTCGAACGCACTGTATTGTGAGGGAACGAGATAGCAGAACCAGCCAGAGAAATATTTTGAATCTCGGCTCCACCTTGGGCTAAAACGTCATAAAAGCTTCACTATGATTTCGTTACATAAATAAGTACCTATTGAGCGCCGAACATAAAATCTGAAAGGAACCATCGCTCGCAACTCAACGTTACCTGTCTCCCTCCTGGACAATGACACTCTCGGTTACCCAAATGGAAGTGCGTTACCATTTTTACCACCGTCACGTTAGTAAGGGAGGTATTTTAACGGGGTAAAAAAATGATCCCCACTTTCTTGACGGAAGTACACGTTTTGAAGCACCAGGAATCCGAATCTGTACTCTGATTTTAGTCTAAGCGGCTGAACCTATTGGAACTAAATTTGGTACGCATGTTCTTATAGACATAAATGAAGGAGCTGAAAAGCTTTTAAGCAGAACGCGCATGCGCAGGTGTGCGGGTGGTGTTTGTGCTAGCCAGAACAAATTTTTATTTAATTGCCGTTGGGATTAAAATATCCATTGGAAATACCATGAAACGAAGTGTCGGAAGGAGGTATTCATAGAGGGAAAATGAAAGATGTGAACATGCATCTGTCGGTGGGTAGAAAGCAGAAAATGAGGATTAAGAGAGAGACCTATAAGAAATTGCCTAACCTAGACGATCGATATTTTCTTGTTGAATTTCACCATTTTTATTATTTTACTTTATGTTGGTTTAAACATTTAAAGCGGGCGAAGGAGGGATAATAAAATAATCCCATTTGTGGTTTCGCCTGGTATTTGTTCATGTAAAAATGCGCTTTTCGGAGGTTAAACGAATTTTTCCTATAGAAAATATGTGGCGTTTTGGAACGGTGCACAGTGGCTCCAAATCTCGAAAAGAAGGACTTTTAAATTAATAATTTGGCAGGTTCATAGTATGCTCTGCATTAAATTCCGGTAATAGAATGCGTTAACCCTAAGCCAAAGGATCAGTTCAAAACTGACCATCTTTATTAAATAGAAAGCCTTAGAGGGGTCTAATTTATCCGCCATATTGGATCTTCCATTTTGTTTTTTAATTTTAATTAATTTAATTAATTTTAATTTAACATCAGGACAGATTGCCAGTTAACACGCCCAAAAATTCCACTAGACCGATTTTCATTGAAATACAAGCACATTTCGTGATTTTTGTCCGCCATATTGGATTCGCCATTTTGTTTTTAAAAAATCTAACATCTGATCCTTAATCAGCGCACCCAAAAAACCCTACTACACCAACTTACATTTAAAAACAATTTTTCGTACTTTTTATCCGCCAAATTGATCCTCCATTTGGTTTTTTATTTATATTTTGTCACACGATTTGCAATTAACCCGCCCAAAAACTTCACTATACCGACTTTCATTTAAATACGACAAAGTTCCTCAATTTTTGTCCGGCATATTGTTTTTTGAAAATCTAATATCAGATTCTTATTGGCGCACCCAAAAAAACCCTACTACCCCAACTTTCATTTAAAAACAACAATTTTGTGTAATTTTTATCCGTCATATTGGATCCTCCATTTTGGTTTTTAAAAATGGGACATCAAATTCCCAAAAACTCCACTATACCGACTTTCGTTTAAATATAATGACATTTCCTTACTTTTGTCCGCCATTTTGTTTTTGTTTTTTTTAATAAACATCAGATTCTTAATCAGCGCACCAAAAAATCCCGATATATATACAGTTTTACAAAATTCCCTCAATACCTTGTTGAAGCACAGTTACGGGTCATCACGTGTTTGAGAGAGGCGAGGCGGCGTAGCCACTGAATCCGAGCTTACGCGTTACCAAAATCAAAAAAATCTTATAAAAAATTTAAATCGTTAAAATGTTTATAGCATACATACCTACCTTAAACAACTAGAACCGAACTTAAAAATGGGTCCGCGTTCGGACCTTATAACCCTCAGCAAACACATAGTTATGGAGTTTTATTTTAAAGAAGATTACCTCTGGGCGCAATTATTTCGAAACGCAGGGCAATCGGCAATAGATACGAAAAAATAAAAAAAAGGTAAATTGTAGAGGCCACGTTCGGTAAACTGTTTAAAATGGTGGTACCGGCTTCGGTTGAGGAGAACGATTTTCCCATACATTGCGGTTATACGGCTTTCGGTTAGGACTTTTAATTAATTAGCAAGTTTTACGCGAGTAAGGATCTCGCTCTCCCACCAGATTTTTACTTAAATACCTCGCCGAATCTAAACGGAACGAAACTGTTAAGGTCCGTGAGTTCGAGGCAACACTGTCACGTTTCTACTTGAACACTTGGTTCTTATCTTAAAGTAATTTCGAATATTAGTAGTAGTTCTATTCTCTTTCCTTATGAAGCGGTACACGTCTTTTTTTTCGAAATATTGCTAAACATAATGCTTGTATGGGGGTAGTAATTTACTGCAAAAGTTCTTATTACGTATTGTGTAAAGATAAAGGTTTTATCATAAACGCACTTTCAGGTAAAAATCTCCCTAAGAAGAATAAAAGACGAGAGGTATCTAAGTCGTAAAAAACGTTGCAGATCAGACTCAAGTACACGCTCAGATAGAAGTGCTTACAAAACAGTTCATCCACGTCGATTACACGCCTTGCAAAGTGAAAAACAACCGTCGAGCACAGAGCAACTAATTAAGTTAGTTTTAGCGCAAGGGGAGGTGATTAGGAAACAGCTCAGAAAATTAAGGTGAGTTGACAAAAAAGCGAACTTTATTAATGTGTACTTAATTACCTTTTTAAATTTTCAGACACAGTGAGCATCAAATCGGTTACCTAGAAGAAAAAACACACAAAGCGAGGGTTAGGAAGCACGGAAGTAATTATTTGTTAGAAACTTATCTTAAGGGATTATCGGAAGCGGTCGATCCGAATTTGGAAGAGAATCCTAACGCTGACAGGCATAGTGATAGTGGGGTTGTAACCGAAGGGGATAGTGAGCAATCTAATCATAATAAACAGGCGTCTTCCGTTGAGGTTAGTAACAGCCCTTAAATTAAGATCAGTAAATAATCAACTTTTAATCTTGTTACTTTGCTTTCTTTCGTGATGAAACTCCCATTATTAATAATCAGCGAGTATAAAATATCTAATATAAGTAGTTAATGACATCCAATCATATTAATGTTCTTAAGCATACTAAATTATGATTACCTATATCAAATTGTACAGATTTTATCTGCTTTGTTGGTTACTGGCATATAATTTTATGTAATTATTTCTCTATCATTTCAGAATGAGCGTTTTTCACCATCGTCGGAAGAGCTGCAGAAAGATATTAAGGATGATGACACCAGCTCAATCGAAAGCGAAACGACTTTGAAGGCACAATCAGAATTATTTGAAATGATTTCGAAGTTAAACAAAAAACTGTTAAAAGAAGAGGAATGCCTTGTTAGGTTACACGCAAACATAAAAAAGTACGAGAAGCAGAATAAAAACTGCACGGACGAAATCGGGAAGGCACTGTCCAACTTGCGAACGGAAATGACGAAAAGTGCGTGTGAGATGCAACACAACGAAATAGTTCTTGAGGAAACTCGGGAAAAGTTGTCAAGTAGAAAATCGTATTTAGATAATTTACATAAGGATTTGATAAACGAAGAACAAGAGTGTGAGATGTTACAAGCACTTCTATATAGTACAACGCTTAGGCCACAGAAACGAGAGTATTACACAAATTATAAATCACATTATACCAAAGAAGTCTTAGATACCTTAGTTTGATAAATCAGTTCATTTGCTATACCAAATATTATGTACCTAACCATTAAAATTAAGTCAATAATATTTAATCGTGTCACGTGATTTTTTACGTGACAGTTTATACCATTATGTAAATAAATATATGTTTTTGTTTTCTATGTTGTGTTGAGAAGAAAATCCAAGCAATTCTACTTCAGCTTTTCTCTCTTGCTGTTTCTGACTATCCTCTTCCACTCCTGTCCCAAACATTCTCTTCATTCGTCTCTCTCAAGGAAAAAAGATAAAATTTTGCATGTAACTCAAATTTTGAAACCCAAGGAAATTTTACACAAGTAGGTATAATTGACACAATTTATATAATAACGAAAAAGTCTCCTTTATCTAAAGTCGGCTTTAATGAATAATTAATGTTGCTGTTGAAGGCAAAAAATTCTATGATATTCACTACAAGCTACCGTACCAATATCAATAATGTTTATAATTTTTAACTCAATATAATTTGGATAATGGAGAGGTTCGTCCCAAACAGTCGCCTTACTTTGGAAATAAAGTTGACATTATCGGCAAGATATCATACCTATTTCTTAAAATGCCGTAAATCTACACTCATTCTACACCCATCCCACGTATTTCCTGTATATTGAAGCGACCTATTTTGATTTAGCGGAATCGACTGGTTATCTGATTTTGGAAATGCTTATAGAACCAAGTTATCTTTTATTGGTGTAAAGGACGTTTGTCTCTTTCTATCTTAGACCATACACAGTACATGGACTGCTATTAGTCCTATCCTTTCAATACAAAATGGGTGGTTACGGATAGGGAAAAGGAAAAAGGAAAAAGGCCAACGTGTTGCATTCCTCCGGCACCCCTGACTACAGCGATACCGGAGGCAGGCTGCTCAGGGCTTCCTGGCCCTCTTCAGCCAGAGAACGGGATTGTAAGGATGGGTAAAGTTAGGGATGGGAACGGAGGGGCATTGTAGTCGTGGGCATGTATTTAGCAGTCTATGTACTGCATGGTTTAAGCTCACACAAAGGACCTGTAAATAAATGACTCACTAAGTACTCGTAATTATGAACTCCTGCAATTGCTCTCACGAAATCTGAAAACGCACAACCCTGAACGTAAAAGGCGCCTATATCTCAGCGCCTCCCGAGAAAATGCACTATTGGAAAATTTGCACCCAGTATAGTATCCTCGGTTCCAGGATCTTCGCCATATCGCATTACACTTCCGAAAGGTAACATCACTACCAACGATGCCACGCCAGCTTACGTACGAGCTGTACTGCAGGATTACTTCACTAGCTACTACTGGCGAACCATAGAAAATCAATTTTCGTTACGGCATTTTTTAAGAATTACAACAATTTGTAGACGGCCTTAAAAATCACGTTTAAGCCTGTACCCGACGAGGATAAATTCTCCCTGCGCGAAATTTTAGAAACGAATCTTCCTGGCGTAATATTTGTACAATCGAATCCAGCATGCAGCATCGTCGATAAATGGGTCCAAGAATATGTACATTTGATTGTTTTTTTTCCTCGGTAGGATTATATCGTCTGTTAGACCAAATAATTCCTCCTGGCCTGACGAATTTGTCATGAGTTCATTTGATACATCATTCGAAATGGGAGAGACCTGTTGTGGCGTAATCGAAAATCAGTAACATTCCTGTAGCTGTAGGTCATTCTGCTTCAGATACATGATGTCAAACAGTAAAAATGTAGGTAAACGATCCAAGTTTTCAAATGATAATAGAAAAGTAGAACGACGAACAATGGCACGATTCTGAAGACGAAGGCTTCCTTCGAATCTTAATCCTTTTCATAGCAACTTGTTATGGCTGTCACACATGAAGTAGGTCAACACAAATATCTCTTTTAATGTGCACGATTGGTACTGAAAATTGTTTCTACACGTTGATTTATTGTTAATGTTATGGAAAAATACCTCTGGAATAATATTTAGCACATTTTCCTCTAAATTTCACTAATTCAAACGCACATGTAAAATATGCTTCAAGATCGTGGCGCGTCTCCCGCGAACCGGAAAATCCCTCCTAACAGGCCCCACGTGCTGCTCTGGGTGGCGTAGTTATGACAACAACAGGATTTTTTTACACTTGTAACTCTATCCTTTTAAATTAAAATAATATTAGGCAACAACCATTGTTTGTCTTAAAGCAGGAGAAATGTTTATTAGAACTGTTAGAAAGTTGTTTCGTTTTCATCGTCCTTTTCTAAATATCAAACTGATCCCATGGTGCCATTGAAGTTTGGAAGTTTCTATTGGTCTGATTTGTTAATGAAATTTTTTTCCTCCACTGCACAGAACAAAAATTTGATACGGGGAGGGTCGGATACTGCAGGTATAATAACGGGTGATCAAAAAAAGACTGACGTCGAGTCGCCTTTGGAAGTTCAAGTTAAATATGATTTCCCTTGTAAATAAAAATTCCAAAGGTGACTCGACAGCAACACTTTTTTGATCACATAGTATGGCATAGGCACGCAAGGACAAACATCGTGAATGTGCATGTTTGGCTATGGTAATATCATTGTGAAATTGGTTATGCCGCTAGTATTGTTCGCTCGCTCTTGGGAGCACAACATTTTTTACCCTCAGAAATGAATAACAGATCATGCACACAGGCTCTTCGCTATATTCACACTCCAGCATCGCGGAAGGAAAATCTACGTGGTTATTGCTTTCAAAAACTAACAGGAACCCGCTTGAATTTGAAATCAAAGAGTAGCACGTGATTGCATCGTCCAAACACCCTTATGATATAGGTACATTGATATTCATGTAGAAGTAGACATAGGGATTTCCTATGCCTACTTTCAAATGACGAAAGTTCTTCTGAAAGACGCCTAATTTTATGCAATCAAAATAACTTCTTGAAACAAATAAAGATCTGGCTGTCATATTAATTATTAATTTGAATATTGTTGCTTTGGCTTCACAGAAAATAAATCTCTTAAGCTCCTTTAACTGTTACCGGCACTATACCATTTGTAAATATCAACTTTTTCTTTAGTTGTCAAAGCGATAATATTCAAAATAATTAATATGACAGGCAGATCTTCATTTGTTGTACCTAGGTAGTTATTTTGGTAGCATAAAGTAATTAGGTGTCCTTTAGAAGAGTTTTTATCATTTAAAAGTAGACATAGGAAATCCCTATGTCTACTTCGACATGAATATCACTGTAGATGTAAAAAAAACACATTTCCATGGAGCTCATTAGGGAAGGAACTCAAAATAAAACGCTAGAATGATTCGTATTTCTGTGTGAAATTCCAAACGGTTACTAAACCACCCACAAAACACCTGCCCGACTAGTTCAAATCAATTCAACGTTGAAACTTTATATTATTATTATCCTCGTACACATCCGGCATCCATTACAATGAAAATCCCAATTCTGACTTGAATTTTATTAAATTTCTGAGACACAGTGGCCTCGATCAGCTCCCGACAATTCCAAGCAAAATGACGATTAATGCCTGGCATAACTGTTGTGCACGAAAAGAAAAATCTGACATGAAAACTATCTGGGTCGCACAATGGGATCGATTAAACACACAGCCAATGAATTGAAATAACACAAATTTATTTGGCACACATAAAAAATTAAAACAATTACTCTGGGAGAGAAAGAGGCATTTAGAGCCTGATTCTACACATACCACGCACGCAGGCGTTCGACAGACAAATAAAAAAATCTTAATTATTACAGTTTTACAATAATCCAATAATTAATATGGTCGTAAAAATTTTGCAATATTCAGGCCCACTTAGAATTGACACAAACACTCGCTGTCAGGCCAGGTTCAGGAAACTTCACTTCTTTTTTAATAAACAAGATTTTGATGACAAAAACAAAACAAAACTAGCTTGTGGAATTAAATGACAAAAATTTGACACCTACTAATTTTTTTGATATCCTGATAAATTGGGCAGCACGAAACTTCATTAAATACACAAAATGATATCTATAACGCTATTCTATTTTACTGAACGAGTACTGACGATGCTGACTTCATGTGCCTGCAAACCTTCCACCACGTCCACAAATCTAGAGCTAGTTTTGGTCGATAACTTGGTTGGATCTATGAACAGTCCCAATGTCTGGATTTCATGCAAAATTCTTATACGGTAGATACGAGTACAAGTGCGTTTGAACTTGTTAATCAAAATGGAGTGAATGTTTTATCATAATTACTTACATAAGTACTTAAAGATGTCAAATGTCAATTATTTTCTGGACATCTGAAACCAACCAATCGCATTAGTGTAACTGGTTTTATTATTTAGTCTACCTTGATAAACGATGCTGAAGTATATTGATAATGTTGTTTATTTAAATTTTTAGGTGGAAATAACTTTCTTATAGAGGTTTACCAGACGGACCTGATAAACACTGTGTAATCTTTACTGCAGCAAATAAAGGTAGGGACTAATATAACAATAATCCTTATCGCGTAACTTGTGTTCGATGACTTCAGTTTTTGGCAAATAATATTCGCAATCTGAGCATAATTAACTGGTTAGGAGATGAAGAAAATAATACAGCATAAATTATATAAATCTTGTAATGCAGTTTGTATTAGCTTGGTATACAAGTTCCGCTTTTGGATTATTACATGATATAAACAATAATGAATTCATTAAACAGACCAGAATCGTTGCGTTAAGTACGCGTGCAAGCACCCCCATGAGAATCGGATCGTTTACAACCACTTTTGCATTTGCAATCCGCACAGGAACAGTTGTCCCCACAAGTGCAAGGGCCGCCTGAGGAACATTTGCATTTTTCTGCACTTGGGCAGCATTTGGCTTCACATTTGCTACCCTCGGTTGATCCACAGTTGCAGTGGCAGTGTCCAGGGGCACATGTGCAATTTCCATCCTGGATGCAGTTGCACGCTTTTGTTACTAAAATTAGAAACAAAAAATGTAGGAAACAGAAAAATTTAGATAGGTAAGTACTTACAGGAACACGCTAGTACTGGGGCACTCATTGTAAATCTCTCCAACTATCGAATCACAACAACGGCTCTGAAATGGAAGTCGCACAATATAAATGTGAAGATTACATGTCCCCTCTCCCAGCAAGTACACTCAAAATCCACCATGTGCAATTCAGAAAAACAGTGACGTACTGTAATACTCGTAGTAGCTACTTACAGTATTATAAGTAGGTACAAATTTGATGGAAAAATACCTTAGACGCTTCGTTTTAATGTTTTAGAAACTATACACTTGACACTACATATTCAAATATTACAACTGTTTACCAATACTCGAGTTGATAGGAAAAGCGCAATATGAGCCCAGCATTTTTTACAAATATTTTCCTCGATTAGGTGCGCCACTTACTAGTACTAACCCTACGTGAAAATTATGTTATCTATTTTGGGCGCTGATGACCTGTGTATGTACTTACCCAGTATTTATTCAGTTATTTTTAACGGAAGTGGTCGTCTTTGAAATCATCAGATTTCCTTCCTTCTACATTAATTAATACCCCGTCTATACTAGTACCTAAAGAAGGAACTGGATTAAGCCCTCACGCCCAGTTTCTGCTATTCTTTTGATTAGGCTAGGCTAGGACGTGTGGTTTTTATAGCCTATTAAGCATCGCAACAATTAACATAACAACTTATTAGCTTTATTGAAAAATATTAAACCCACTCATATGCATAAGTGTGGTCGTTAAATTGTATATTAACGTCAATTCCAAATTGTTAAAGTTGTCGATTTGTAGGTACTTTTCCGTTGTTTGTGCACCTATTGAGGTATATTCTGAAATTCAGATTGAATTTTTAATGCTAATGCGAAGGCGTTCAGTTTGACATTTTTTTTCCTCAACCATGCTCGGTGGTTTGTTTGTTCTCGCACCTTTTATAAAAAAATTAAGATCTTGGTAGCTAAATATCAGAGAGACAGTTTTCAATTAGATTCATACTGTCCAACCATTCCTGAAGTTTCTTGAAGATTTTAAAGGGTTTTGGAGATTTTAAAAGCAACAAAAAGCTTAATTAACGGACAGATTCGAATGAATCCGAAGCCCTCCTAAAGGCCTTATTTCTTAAAGATTGAAATCCTTAGTCTCTGTTGGGTCAGGTATATGAATATGACCAAAGAGTATATATACTCTGATATGACTTGGCAACGTGGCCGTTATTAGTGCCCCCGCACGTCAACTAGAGGGAGAGAATGTAAGAAACGCAACACCCTCCTGCGATTTTTCAATCGACAGCGACCACGGAAGGAATGTCGACAAACAAAAGCAATTACTGTACTCGTGTTACCACAGCAGAAGTTTGATTTTTCTGTGTTCAAGTACCTATGGCTCGAGGTGCAAAAACGTTTTGAGTGGTTGAAGGCTGTATCTGGACAGAATTTGAAGAAGAAATATTGAGGTGACTCTCGTATCTCGAAGGCACTATATAAACAAGAACCACATGCAAATTAGGGAAGAACATCAGAACCTTTTCTCAATAACAACAACAATTCCTCGCTACATAGAATTTGAGAACTTATAAATAATTTTATGACCCATATAATATGCAGCCAATAATCTTATCTGCTTTCACGGCGATCAGCTGATTTGTCAACAAATATATACAAACGTTGTTATACGGAATCCAGAAGAATTAATACACGAATACTTACAGCTTGCAATAAATAAATTTCCAATTTTTTGCAAGTTGAGTTTGCATATAACTCTCAGGTATATCAATCCATTGACACGAATATTTTAGAAATGGAGTTTTATATGAATGAGACGTGTTAAAACACGATATGTACCGTGTGTACCATTTTTTTTTAAATCTTATTCACAAACCAAAAATAAAAACCTTATTTTTTACGGTTTTTTAAACAGTAGGCCATGGATTCATGAAGATTTTGTTTTGTTTCTTGTATCCATGGTAATTGAGGCAGCCGAGACCATCAACAAAAATGGCTAACAATAGGCAGTTTTTACCTTTTTTACCCTGTATCTCAGACACAAACGTATCTAGATTGATTCTTGACCTAATCATAGCATAGCATAGTAATGGATCAGATCTATCGGCTATTGATAATAGTATGATGGTGCTTGTTATTGTAAAGCATTCGATACAATTAACCATGATATTCTACTACCCATTCTGCATTCCATTGATTTTGATAACACGGCTAGAAGTACAACTTATTGGTAACTATGTTAACTTAACGGGGTATTATCAGTATCACAATTGCTTCCGATTACTGCAGGTGAGCCGCAGGGATCCATACCAAGTCCACTGCTGTACATTATTTACACTAGCACAGTAGTAATGGGAGTTGTGTTGTATAGGATAGCTTTCACCGTTTCAGACGACGTGCTGAGTTAAGCTATTCAGCGCCCGCGCCGGACCGACGGATGCATGTGGCGCGTGGGTGCGCGTCGGCCTTAAGAGATAACCCAGTTGAATCCGAAAGTCTTCCAGTTTACAGCCTACAGGGTGAACCCAATATACTCTTTGTCTTTCTTTCTGAAGTCAACGACCCCGCCGATACAGAAACCACGTCGTAATAACGCGTTTCTGCTTGCGATTCGTTGTGTTCTCTGCTACAGAGGGTACTGGGCACTGACAAGACTCTACCGGATCGGGAAAAAAACCGCCAAGTGTGAAGAGTTGTAAACCGTTGCGGTCCCAGTACCGGACGCATCCATCCGGGACGTGTGTAGCCAGGCTTAGGTATGCTCGTAGCCAGGAGTGATCTTATAAAAAGATGCATTCCTGGAAAAGCGCAAAGTATCAAGTGTTATAAAACTTGAACAGTGATCTCTGAAGACTCTGACGTGATTGGTAAGGTAGATGGCCGCAGGGTATCCCTATTCTGTAAAGCAGCTACTGCTTGAAGCTTGTTGCTGTTTTTATAACTTATCCCTACCTATGGGGATTGAGAGGGTGTGCCTTGTGCTCTTGGAGCCACGCACTTTTCCGATTACAGTCACCAGTTGGATGGTATCATTGAAAAAGTAATTATTACAATGGTGGCACGGAGTCCATCAGACAGCATCATCCATGCTGACCCGGTGGGTGAAAGTGAATTGGATCCGTTGGAAGACTCTGTGGTATCGGTGTGGTCTCGACTTGCTTGCAGGATCGAACAAAGCGTGGGCTTTACGCGTCACCTTCACTGGCGGCGGCGGTGAGTAACAGGTACGTGGGGGATGTTGCGTTCTTGCAGGGTTTTTTTGGTCTCTGAGAGCGTTGAATAGGTGTACTGTGGGTTGCGTTTCTGTGGAGGTGCAGCACGCTAAAATCATGATTATTTTGTGGCTGCTGAAGTAAAAAAAATAGTAAGTTTAAAGACGTATACAAATTTAAATTGACACCATTTTTCTATTCATAGAAAGTGTGCTGTACTCTTGAAAAAATATAGGTTAATCTCGGGTCTCCCGCTGATAGTGCATGGTATATGAAAACTATATGAATTGAATACATGTATAAAATTTATTAACCCAATCCAACATTGCTTAAACAATAAAAGAATATAAACTGTACATTATGTTGTGCTGCTAGAAGTAAGAGTTTACTACAGAAGTACCTACATTAAAGAATATAAACTGCAATGCCCACTAAACTCTTCACACACCAGTCCGCCAAACCGTACAGCTTCGCCATATTAACATTTGCATGTCTTCGGGCAGTTGGTACACTTGCAGTCGGTGCAGCTGCATGATACTACGCAAGTGCAGGTTCCTCCAGAAGTGCACTTGCATTCACTCGTTGGGCACGTTTCACATTTGCAGTTGACACAGATGCACTTGACGGTGCATACACACGAAGCGCCTTCTTCGCACTTACAAGCAACTTCAGGGCAGTTGGTGCACTTGCAGTCGGTGCACTTGCATGAAACTGCGCAAGTGCAAGTTCCGCCAGTAGTGCATTTGCATTCACTCGTTGGGCACGTTTCACATTTGCAGTTGACACATATGCACTTGACGGTACATACACACGAAGAGCCTTCTTCGCACTTACAGGAAACTTCGGGGCAATTGGTGCACTTGCAGTCGGTGCACTTGCATGATACTACGCAAGTGCAAGTTCCCCCAGAAGTGCATTTGCATTCACTCGTTGGGCACGTTTCACATTTGCAGTTGACACAGATGCACTTGACGGTGCATACACACGAAGCGCCTTCTTCGCACTTACAAGCAACTTCAGGGCAGTTGGTGCACTTGCAGTCGGTGCACTTGCATGAAACTGCGCAAGTGCAAGTTCCGCCAGTAGTGCATTTGCATTCACTCGTTGGGCACGTTTCACATTTGCAGTTGACACATATGCACTTGACGGTACATACACACGAAGAGCCTTCTTCGCACTTACAGGAAACTTCGGGGCAATTGGTGCACTTGCAGTCGGTGCACTTGCATGATACTACGCAAGTGCAAGTTCCCCCAGAAGTGCATTTGCATTCACTCGTTGGGCACGTTTCACATTTGCAGTTGACACAGATGCACTTGACGGTACATACACACGAAGAGCCCTCTTCGCACTTGCAGGCAACTTCAGGGCAGTTGGTGCACTTGCAGTCGGTGCATTTGCATGATACTACGCAAGTGCAAGTTCCACCAGAAGTGCACTTGCATTCACTCGTTGGGCAAGTTTCACATTTGCAGTTGACACAGATGCACTTGACGGTGCAAACACATGAAACGCCTTCCTCACAGTTACAAGCAGCTTCAGGGCAGTTGGTGCACTTGCAGTTGCTGCACTTGCATGATACTACGCAAGTGCAGGTTCCACCAGAAGTGCATTTGCACGAGATGGTTACTGAACAATCGAAATTATTTAGAAAATTAATTAATAACAGAAAGTGGTTACTTACTGGTACAAACAGGCTTGGAACTGCTCATTATGTCACTATCACAGAAACGAGGTTGGAATGTAGATACCTCCCTCGATCATTGTTATATATACGTAACTGAAATCGCATCGTGTGCAACTGCGGGCAGCTTGTTTTGCACACGTCATTACTATACGTAGTGAAATCGGCACGACACTATACTATGACTCGGCAATACGATGACGATAAGAATTTCATCACGACAAGCCTGATAATTTGCAATGAAGTAATTATTTTAATGAGGATACCGTACAATCATATACGTTTAATACATTTAATTTGGCGTTTCTCCATTTTATAACAAAAATTATTTATTTGCTCTTCGAAAAACTGCATTATTGCGCTCGGGTCTTAATCTCAGAAAAAATTGCGGCTTATGAGGTATTCTTTTGGAGACATTAATATAATAGAGTGAGACAGAGACTGCCAGTTTCGAAATTTATTTGTTTAATTTGGTACCAGAGGTTCTCTTCCAAATCATCGTTAAATTCTCCGATAGGTAACATTTTCATTTTTTTTTAGTAGGTATGCATTTACGTAAGTAGGTAGGTAACTAAAGTCCGTTTACCAATTACATTCACTCTTTCAGCCATTTACTCTTTTTCTTCTTCGATAACACCACGATTAGAGCGGCAGCAACGCATTTCCGTAGACATTTTCGATTGCGACTTATAGAACACGAATCACTTTCTACTGAAAATTGTGCAAGAAAATAAGTAGAAATGACTTGGCACGTAGGTAGTTTGGAAATTTTGTCGATCAACGGTTTGGAGCGATGTTTTTTGATTCGATCAATGGTAGGGTGAAAGTTACTTTCAGTTAAATATCTCACTGACCTGGTGAAACTTAGTTGACGTCCTCGAAAAGTGAGCCCATCAAAGTCCGCCTTCCGTTTATTCCGAGGTTTATTCGTAAATGGAACAACCTCGGTTTTTTCCGGGTTAACGGAAAGACCATGGCTACTGCGCCACCTATCCACCTGTTCAAGAGCGTATCCTTGTGCATACCACGTTGCCTCCTCGTTCAGAGTGCGGAGGAACTCGTCTAGTACCAGGCACCACAGCAGTGGAACCAAATACCCCACCCTGCGCAGATTCCCTAAGAGCTCATCTCCGTCATCCCGATTGAGGATATAATGACTCTGCTCCCGAGCATGACTCGGATCCATCTTACGATTGACCCATCAGTACCAAATCTTTCAGCAGCCTCACTAAATGAATCGAATGTGGTGTTGTTAAACCCACCCTCGATATCTAAAAACGCCCCCAGCCCCCCTCCCCCCTCTGGTCTATGAACCAGTACCCCATCCCTTAAGTATGGATCCACCAACTTCTCCGCCTTTTTTTAGAAGGAACGATTATAGGCTGATGGGCCTGTAATCCTTCACCATGCCGTATTTAGCACGACCCGGCTAAGGTGGCGACACAACTCTTACCTTTCTCCGGCTTTCGGGGACATAAGGATAATAAAGCTAGAGAGGCTCTGAAGCGTAAAAGCAGAGGCTTCAACATCAGAAGAGCCTGGAATATCCTGTCCGGTCCTGCACTCTTAAAGGGGCTGAACGTGTTGACCGCAGAGATCTTTTGGTAACCCGAGTACTTTCTTTTGGTGGGTCCGCAGTTAATTAGTCCCCAGAGCCTGGAATGGGTGTTACCTAGGGACATGTGAGAATCAGTCAGGACCTTCTGCAGGAAAACCGGGAATATCCCGTCCGGTCCTGCACTCTTAAATGAGCTGACCGTGTTGACCGTCCATTTCAGAGATCCCTCGGTAACCACACGAGCAGCTACTTTCCAGTCGATCGGACTTACGCCGACCCTGGTAGCTCCTTTTGGTGGGTTTGAAGTTATGTAGTTCCCTGAACCTGAAAAGTGTGTTTCCAGGAGACATTTGAGAGCCGCAGTCGCAGTAGACGTATATCTACGGCATGGAAGCCTCAGTGTCCCCACCTTTTGCCACGGGTCCTTCAAAAGGATCATACGAAGTTTTTTAACTTCAGGAAGACCACAGAAGGTTCTCCATGGTCCTAGTTTAGACCTTCGAATATGGTAGCGACGTCGGGAGTATGGGTCAGAGGGGGCGAGTTGCCCCCTCAGTTTTTACATAAGGGGAGCCGCGCCCCTTCTAAGAATGAGTAGATAAATCACTCAAAAGCGACTAACACATCTTCTACTGCATGCGCATGCAGAAATTACAAAAAGTGTAGAAGTAGAGGATATATTGAAAGAATTTGCCAGCAAAACTGCGGAAAGGCGGAAAATTTTTGGATATATTTAATTTTTTATACTTACTTTTTCTTACAATGCTCAATAGTGCAATAAATAGGAAAAAAAATTTTGTAATTTTTGTATGTTCTAGTTCTTCATTATTTTTTAAATAAAATAAGTATTAATGATCTATGGCTATGGTTTTCTCAATCGAGTCAAGTATCTCTGAGTTGCTCAGTTGCATATCACTAAACATCCTCCGACACTTTTTTAAATTTTTTTTCAAAACTTTTCTTTCAAAATACATTATTTGATTGATTAAATAAAAAGGTTTCAGGGTCACTTAAAAAACCCACTGCTTTGCATTAATTCGTACGTTACGTTACGTTAACGGTAAGAGGAAGATTTTCATTTGTTTATTGTATTGCCATAACTGATGGGTTTAACCATTCAAATAATCCATAAATGTTATTATTATTAAAAGTTTTCACTCAACGGTTTCACCAAAGAGTAGGTATATATATAACGTTATATACCGTAATTTGGGGACGGGAAATAAGAGTTTGTTATGGTTGCTGTGCAACTATTAATAGTGACAGTTTTATTTTTGTATAAATTGTTTTTGAGTGAGTATCGCTGTAATTTCGTGAGGGCATTTTGCTTATTAAATAAATTGCGAAATGCACCACGATTAATATTGATTTTTATGGACGCGCCATTGGTTGCTTGAAGGAACCTAAGTCATAGTGAAACAAAAACTCCACCGTTGCATAATTGCAGAGCCCACAATGCCCGTCATATTCTAGCCATTATCCAAAACAATGGACACTGCAGCCAACAGCCCATATTTTATACCATGCGACTTCTTTTCGTTAACAGATCTTAAAAAATACCTAACGCCCCAGATGTGAGCGCAGTACCGTCTTTTTTGAAGAGAAAGAGAAACGTACTAAGGTAGAAATTGAAAAATGGACTATATATAAAAATTGCATTAATTAAATATGAAAATAATTATTTTGTTGAAGCTAATCAGGCTCCTCGAGATAAAATTCTTATCGTCATCGTATATTGTCGAGTCATAGTATAGTGTCGTGCCGATTTCACTGCGTGTAATTATGACGTGCGCAAAACAAGCTGCCTGCAGTTGCACACGGTACAATTCAAGTTATATTATGTATATAACATTGATCGTGGGGGAGGTATCTACATTGAAAAAGTGTAACCTAGTTTCAGAGATCGTAACATAATGAGCAGTTCGAAGCCTATTTGTGCCAGTAAATAACCACTTTTTGTTATTAATTCATTTTGTAAATAATTTCGTTTGTTCAGTAACCATCTCGTGCAAATGCACTCCTGATGGAACCTGCGTAATATCATGCGAGTGCACTGGCTGCAAGTGCACCAGCTGCCCTGAAGTTACTTGTAAATGCGAAGAAGACGCTTCGTGTGTATGTACTGTCAAGTGCATCTGTGCCAACTGCAAATGTGAAACGTGCCCAACGAGTGAATGCAAATGCACTTCTGATGGAACCTGCACTTGCGTAATACCATGCGAGTGCACTGACTGCAAGTGCACCAACTGCTCTGAAGTTGCTTGCAAGTACGAAAAAGGCGCTTCATGCGTATGCACAGTCAAGTGCACCTGTGTCAAGTGTAAAACGAGTGAATCAGGGCCGTAGTCAGAGGCTCTGTGTGAGGGGGGTGTATACAATAAAAATGCCGACCTCAATAAAAATTCAAATATCAACGTACAACATTAAACGACGGTATTTTAACGCTTCTCATTGTGACACTCTTTTTTCCCAATGTACCTATACTATCTACTATATCTTTTTCTGATTATTTGGAACCAATAAGGCAGTTAGCCAATTATCCGCTATAGAGGAACGCAAATGATTTTTAATTAAAACTATATACTGTACCTACATATAAATACCAATGTAATAATAATAATTATTATTTAATGATAATTGTCATTATACAGAGTGCTCTTTTTTCGTGGCTCATCAGTCATCATGGATACGGATTCCCGCTTATCTTAAAACGTGGGATGTTGGCCGAATCTTAGAATGAAAGCACTTTAGGGCTAACTTCATGTTTTCTTTACACTATGGTTCTTTTAATGTACATACCTACTTCTGTAGTAAACTTTATAGTTCTTTCTTTAAGTACGAAACTATTCGTAAAAACTTAAAATATCTAGTAAAGGTCAATTACTAACACCTAAATGTAGTAGGCTTATGGTATAGGTACAAATATTGCATTGGGTTAATAGATTTTATGCATGTATTCAATTCATATAGTTTTCATATTCTACGCACTAGCTACTAGTAGGAGACTTTTAAACAGTCGATTAACCTATATTTTTAAACAAAAGTACCTGCACAAGTACAGCACAGTTTCTTTAAATAGAAATATAGTGCCAATTTTTATACTTTAAACGGCACTGGTGTCCGAATTCGCACCCTGCTGTAGGTAGATTTAATCGAAAATGTCCGCTTGCTTCTAAACACACCGGAAGGACATTGGTCGTTTATCGGTGTCACCCGGCACCGGTTCAAGCCCGAGGCCGCGCCACTTCTTTTCAGTCCGCCAGCGCTTCTGGAAACAGGACCATTGTACAGTCCCCTGAATGACCCAAGACCACAGACATATAGAGACCACGTGAAGCAACCCGAGGAACACATTGCTCCCTTGTTTGGGAGCCGAACATCGACCAACAACTACTCACCAGATACCCTCCTGATACAACCTGCAGCACCGCTGAGACCGTTACTAAATATCGGAGACGTTTCCAAATTACTTAAGTGTAATAGCATATAACCTTAAAGGAGCAAAATAGTTACCAACTAAAACGCTAAAGAGTTACGGAAGTTGTCCCTTATGAGGATCGATCCTTGATATTAAATCTCCTTCATGACCCATTTCACAGCAAAATGGTCGCAGGTCATTTTAGATTCTTTTGAAAGATCCGGGGCAAAAAGTGGGGACACCGAAGCCTACATGCGACAGTTGTACGTCTACCGGCGGTGCGGCTCTCACATGTCTCCTGGAAACACACTTTTTAGGCTCAGGGAACTACGTAACTTCAGACCCACCAAAAGGAGCCACTTGGGTCGGTGTAAGTCCGAGCGATTGGAAGTTGCCCGAGTGGTTACCGAGGGTTTTCTGAGATGGGCGATCAAAGCGTTCAGCCCATTTAAGAGTGCAAGACTGGATGGGATATTCCCCGCTCTTCTGCAGACGGGCCTGGACCCGCTGCTCTTACATTTGTTGCACCTCTTTAGAGCCTCTCTGGCTCTAAGGTATATCCCCAAAGGTTGGAGAAAGGTAAGAGTTGTGTACCTACCCTCGTGCTAAATATGACATGACCGAAGGAACCTTCGTAGAGGTTACCGTAATTAGCATATATATGTACATACATATGCAGTGACAGTCAGGGGGCGCTGTCGGTAGTCAGGTTCTGTTCGTCTAGGGCTCTTGATTTCATGCGAACTCTAGAGATTAAGTTTTATCTGGATGCCAGCGCACTGCGGAATGGGGGAACGAAAGGGTGAACAAGTTGAATAGTGAAAGCACCCTAGGAATTGCTCTGTCCGTTGTCAGGCATAGGATTAAAGACTGGGTGACCATTCAATTCCAGGCTCTGTTGCCGATTAAGAAGATCACTGGATGGTCAACTATCACCTGCATAATATTGGCTTGTGCCAGATGATTTTCCCTTAGCATCTGTTAACTCATAGGTTAAATCTAGGGTTACTCAGTTTTACGGCTAACCGTAAATGGCCCTATCTAAACTAATCTGGGGGCCAATTACGCAGAGTAATCGTTGGAGGCATCAGACAAGGTTTTTTTGGACTAGGCCAGGATCCCCTCTTTCATATACATGCCTGGGTCATGGGTGTCCTTAAGGCTGGACAGCACACCCCGTTACCCGAAAACGCTTGATTTCGTTCCACGATATCTGAATTCTGAGTGAAGATGAAGAAGAGGTCGAATATTCCTGTGAAAGTGAATGCTTTAGCTAGACAATAACGCCGGGGTTTACTAAAATGTTTAAAATAATCTTTTTTAAAGGGCAACGTCGAGGGCTGTTAGTGTGCCATATTTTGGAAAAGAAAAAAGGAAATTAATTTTCCTGGCGTAGTTGCCTAGGTATTAAGTTTACGAACTTAATAATAATAATAACTCAATTTTGGAAATGTTTCAACTTCATTTATAGGCAAGTAAGTTATCTTGGAAAAACAACTTAAAAATCTTCCTCAAAATCGCGAAAAGATAGCTTCCGCCGCGCCGCTTAGTTTGTATAGATAGAAAATGTGCATTATAATTGGTCTAAGTTTATGTTTCTGCCATAAATCATAAATTATAGTAGATAATGTATTAAGGGATAAAACAAGAGTATAATTATAATTCCCTGAGGGAACAGTAATACTCCGAGCGACGTAGTCATATTATATATATATATATATATATATATTATATATTATATCATGGTTGCGTATGGGGTTGGCTGCGACTGCCATGGTTACCTAGTCGTTTGGCTTTGTTCAAGAACGGAAAATGTTGGAAGGGAATGAGCGAGATGATGATGTTCCCATGGAGGGAATAAAAGAAGCTGAAGACGCTCTTAAGGGGTTAGTGGCGGCGACCTCAAAAACATTATATGAAAACGAATACTCCAAGTTTTGTAAATGGCGATCGGAAAAATCCTTGAAGATTGTGAACGAAAAAATTCTTTTGGCGTATTTTAGGGAACGATCTAAGCATGGAAAACCGTCTTGTTTGTGGACCTACTACTCCATGCTTAGATCCATGTTGCCTGTGCGAGAGAGAGAACCTAGACATTTCAAGGTATTATTTATACACATTATTATTCGAATTTGAACAATACTAAGACGTTCTTTTGGATTATAGTTATGGGCAATTGAAAACGTCTTTAAAAACAAGAATTAGGGATTTAAGCCCAAGAAGTCTAAGATTTGCCATTCCCTGTCTGAAGGAAATCTGATAAGTGCCTAGATGTATTTCACAATGTTGTTTTACACACAATTGCTACGACAATGGATCTGTATCACAACCTACAAAATGAATGAAGTTAAGTATCGTAAAAGAAGACCATTTTAAGAAATATCACATGGCTACCACCTACTAAATGTTATTCTTGTTCCTTCTGTAGGTTTTGACTGTTGTACTACACGATTGACAGCTAACCATTGTGTTTCACTTTATCGTAAATGTCAATTAATTGTCAAAGTCCTATTGTTCTGATAGGGAATTAGATTTTATAACTCCCGTTGTGATGACAGCGGGAATTAGGGGTCTGTTTATGTAGCTATAGACTAGTATTTTAATCACCTTGTAAATTATCAATAAAAAATAAATATTATAAATGGCCAAATTTGGCGATTGAGCATAGGCAACTTTACATACTCCGTTCTGTATGTACTGTCCACCCTTAATGCGTGCAATGATTTTTATCGTACAGTTCTTGTTGTGCTAACCGTTTTCTACGTCAATTACTTCATTTTGTTACGGGTTGGGGTAGGAGAAATGAAACTGTTGATGGTGACCTAGCAAAAAATTGAAGTGACCTCTGATCTAATCTTGAACAAATATGGTTACATTTACTGAAGCAGCAAGGCTCCTTTCCCTGTGGAAGAATTTGCTGGAACGTATGTTGAGGTTGGACACCAGTGGAGTTAAAACAATTTTCTAATAAACTGTGCTGAAATGCGAAAAGTACTCTCGTTTAAAAACAGTTATCGAGTATTTACGTAAGAGTGCTTGGTAGTAGAGCAGCTGCTCCTATCCTAGTGCGTGAAATGTGAAACCTATGAATTGACTGCATGTATACAATTTATTAACCCATACTAACATTACTTAACTACAATAAAATAAAGTAAATATTAATAATTTACATGACATTTTGAATTCCTACAAATAGTGTCGTACTAAATATAAACTCTACCACAGAACTATGATATGCTTTGGATTATTTATTGGAATGAATTAACAAAATACTACGATATACGATAAGCACTAAATTCTTCACGCACCAATCCACGAAAATGCACCGTTCTTCATATTAGCATTTGCATGTGGTCTTCTTCTTCGGACATTTGCTGCACTTGCAATCAGTGCAGTTGCATGACTCCACGCAGGTGCAGGTTCCGCCAGAAGTGCATTTGCAGGTACTAGTCGGGCACTTTTCACACTTACAGTTGACACAGGTGCATTTGACAGTGCATATACATGCAGCGCCTTCTTCACACTTGCAAGCAACTTTAGGGCACTTGGTGCACTTGCAGTCAACGCAGTTGCACGATTCCTTACAAGTGCAGGTCCCACCAGAAGTGCATTTGCAGGTACTAGTTGGGCATTTTGCGCACTTGCAATTGACACAAGTGCACTTGACGGTGCAGACACACGAACCGCCTTCTTCGCACTTGCAGGCAACTTTAGGGCATTTGGTGCATTTGCAATCAGCACAGTTGCATGACTCCACGCAGGTGCAGGTTCCACCAGAAGTGCATTTGCAGGTACTAGTCGGGCACGTTTCACACTTACAGTTGACACAGGTGCATTTGACAGTGCATATACATGCAGCGCTTTCTTCGCACTTGCAAGCAACTTTAGGGCACTTGGTGCACTTGCAGTCGACGCAGTTGCACGATTCCTTACAAGTGCAGGTCCCACCAGAAGTGCATTTGCAGGTACTAGTTGGGCATTTTGCACACTTGCAATTGACACAGGTGCACTTGACGGTACATATACAGGCAGCACCTTCTTCGCACTTGCAAGCAACTGCAGGGCATTTGGTGCACTTGCAATCAACGCATTTGCACGACACCTTACAAATGCAGGTTTCGCCAGAAGAACATTTGCACGACATTGTTGCTAAACAAACGAAGTTATAATAGAATAAATTAATAAAAAATGGTTACTTACTGGTAGGAACTGGTTTTGAACTGCTCATTACGTCACGATATTGGAAACACTTCGGTTTTTCTATGTCACACGAATCCCCACGCTCGTTGTTATATACGTAATGAATTGAACCGTGTGCAATTGCAGGCAGCTCGTTTTGCACACGGTATTATTGTCGTTGTAAAAGCGACACGTCACACGGCACTACAGTGATTCAACAATCCGTTGATGATAACAAAATTATCACGAGGGGCGTGATAAGTTCGCACGCACAATAATTAATTACAAGAGTCATTCGAATATTTCCTTTCATTTGGTAACTGCAACTGCAACAGTCGCTAATGTATTGGGTGTATTCATTTGCTGGTTATCATTGTGCAAACGTCCGAAGATACTCGTTTGATGATTTCCGCAAACAGCAAGATATTATTATTTGGCCATTGAATTTAATAGTGCTAATCTCCATAGTACTTTTGACCTTTCGACTTACAGTTGAGTGTGTTTAGTTCAGTAATTTATTATATTATTCCACTTTTAAAGAAATGCTGCGCTTCGATTTTTGGAACACGTAGAAATCATAGCAAAAAAGTGACAGGGATACCGTTGTTACAGTGAAATCGTAAGACCTTCGTTATAATATAAAGATAACTGTACACCTTTTTGAGTTCTAAAATAAATAACCAACAACGTAGTTAAGATATGTAAGATGTTTATTATGGAAATGCGTCCCTAATTTTCAACTCCAAACCATCAACATTGTCTGGACTGCATCCTGGAGTAGTAGGCAACCTATCCTACACTTAATCAACAGCCTTTGCATCACTCACCAAGACACCAACACTAGTTTTCAAATCGCTTACTCTAGTTTTTTTTTTGCTTTTTTTGATAATTAAAAGCAGCTCAATCCAACAGAAAGAGCAACACACAATTACATGATGTGGCCCTATTTTTGTTAGAGTAATTCTTATACACGCATGTCGCATTAGAGCGTCATTTTCTGACAATATCGGTACAACCTCTCGAATTTATTCGAAAATTACTTCATGATTTGTATACGCAGTTTTTTCCAGTGGCCGGTAATCTAGTCCTTAGGCTCATGGCTAAAGTTTCAATCTCGTTTTGCATTTTTCTTGTTGCTGCCTGCAAGTACAAGACAAAAATTCCTACGAGAGAAATCATTAGCTACCAAGAAACCTTGCATTTTAAAATTTGATAGAGAACAAGAAATATTCGTAGTTTTGATCAGATGATCTTCAAAGAAACAAAAGTGGAAACTGCAGAATCCAAGTTTATCCAAAATGAGTGGTTTAAATCCAGAAATTCAGTAAGCACTTAATAGTTATTTACATAAAAGTCAGGAAAATGACCCATTGCTGGCGAGAAAATATTAAAGTACGAGGCAAAGGGGCCGAGTACTTTAATTTCCGAGTCAGGTAATGTCATTTTACTGACGAGTTTTGTATTAAATTTTACCCGAAATCGTATTTTAATATAAAATTTCAATTTTCATATAGGACTTTTGATTAATGTCAATGGAGTCATTATAGACATTTAGTAATGTCACAAATGCGGACGGTAAAGTAACAGGTGCGGCCAGTAAAGTGACAAGCAGCAGGAAACGTAGTCTGCTCTGCCTGTCATGGAAACTAAAATTCCCTGGCAGAAAGTAGGCATGAAAATGAAGGTTTCAGGACGATTTTGGGTAATAGTTATTTACATAATAAATCATGAAAGTGGTCGTTTACATGACGAGGAGGCTTATTGAAAAGTACGAGGACGCGCAGCGTCCGAGTATCTCTTTAATGCCTCCAAGTCAGGTGGACTCACTTTCATGACGTATTATGTATAAAATTTTACCTGAAACCGCAACATGTAGATAACTTTTCCAAATTAAATTATTCGTATGTGTGAAATTTTGATACCTAATCACGCATGCTAAAATCACTTTATTTAATTGTTTCCATAGAGATTACATCAGTGTCATTTTTAATGCAGTTTGCAGTTTATGCTTTGTACTTTTCAACTATACAGTCTTTATAACTAGGTACAAAAGCAGGTATCAGTGAAGAAGAGTACCTACGCGAGACGTTGTTATAATGTAGCCGAAGCTGGGGCCGCCGTAGTGCAATATTCGCTCCCCACAAAGTCAAGAAAAAGGTACGAAAAGGCGTACAAACCTTTTAATGACTGGTGCAAAACTAAAGGAATAATTACTTCCACACATTATCCATTAATTGTTAGTAATTAAAAAACCATTATCCTTTGTGTAGGTATATTAATATTTAAAAATATCCACATAGTCTGCATTATAATTATCCAATCTTTGATTGAATAACTTTCAATTAACGATCTAATTGTTATTTTGCATGTACTAGGACTGTAATGGGAGTCAGGCAAAAATATTACAGTACTAGTCAGGTAAAGATCAACTTTCTAATGTCAAAATAGCCCTGATATTTAGATTTTCTTGACGGTTTCAGGTAAAGGTAAATTACTGCAGCGTGCAAATTGAAAAAACACTTAAAAACAACTGGCACACAAAGATAACGGTGACACTGTTTTATTTTATGACAGTAACAATACCTAAGAAAAGTTATACTACCAATTAAATACTGTAAAACAGTAAATTCAAATAATCCTCGGTCTTTTTGGAAAAATCCAGAACAAAATAGGTAACTCTAAAACTCTGAAACTCCAAAAACTTAACCCACAGGTTCTATACTACCTAATCAACCAATACACCCGAATGGCTATATTCCCTCCAAAAGCTAAACACGTCCCGCTTATATTTGAAATCAAAAGGTGGTACGTGATCAAACATCTAAAGCAGTGCCCCCTTACGTTAGTTAAGTCAGATTTCAGTCGAAAAACAAGAGTAAACTTTGAAAATGGTAGTTCCCCGAATATAAATAAAAATAGACTGGGAAAAAAGGAACATACCAAGAAGACAAATTAATACTAAATTCAATTTAGTAAATTGTGTAGCAAAATTGTTTGTAATGATTTGAATGTGTAATATAACAGCAAAATATGTAGCATAGCATTTAAGTTTTGGGAACAATGTGTGAACTAAGCGGGTCCGAAATTCTGAGAAAGGGTGAAATACATAGGATGTGACTCATCTTTGGCGCAATAAAATTCTTCTGTTAAAAGCAAGACGAAAAATTACCTTGCAAGGCAAATTCAATGTTAGGACAAATATGTGGAAAATCAGTGAATTGCAACACATATATCTCGATTTTCTGTGCACGTTTTTGAGCTTTTCAGTTTCTGGGTTTTTGAGTTTTTGGATATTTGGGTTATTGAGTTTTTGGGACCTCGCCCATAGGTCGCCCCAACGCTCATTCACTCGAGTTCTGACGAGTGTACGTCGGGTTACTATTATCTCTTTGCAACATCAACGTCATTCAGTTGTAAATACGTTAGATCCTCCCTAGCCCTTTGGCTCAGCGTTCTGCACCTATTAAATTTAGACGTAGACGCGGAACCGCGCCTGCCATCGATACGTGATTCGGATGTTGTTCATCCGAAAGTACTTTAAGATAGTAGTTTACAGCAGCCTGTTTACGACGGAGGACTAGAGGGAGGATGTTCGCCTCGACGTGAAGCGCAGCGACCGGACTCGTTGGAAAGACTCCGAGAGAATACCTTATGGCGAGGTTTTGGATTTTATCGAGACTCCCAAGCATCGCACTGTTGTCACATGTCAAATAAGCACAGCACGTCTCTTGTGGTGGGCAAGGACCCTAATGATAATGACATTTAACGATTTCCTACACTTTGTGACAACATTATGTAGATGCTTGGACCACCGCAGCTCCCTGTCAAAGGTAAGTCCCAAAAATTTCATATCTTCGGACATAGCTATTATTAGGTCTTTCATAAATAGAACGGGGTCATAGTGTGGTCTTCGGAGTCGACAAAAATGAACCGCCTTCGTCTTTTGCTCAGACAAAACGTACCCCACTGCATCCGCATTATCAGAAATTTTATTGATAGCCATTTGCTTTGCTTCGACTGTGTCAGCAACACCCAGGGCTATTCCGTTTAAGGCGTCCGTTTATTTCACTTGTACGATCAAAAATGGAGTACTGTGCATTAATATGGCAACCGTACCAAGCCTACCTAAAAGCTAAACTGGAATCTGTGCAAAGAAGATTTTTGAAATTCTTTCTTACAAAGCTGATGGTATTTATCCAGAGAGAGGTCATCCCCAACATTTACTGCTGTCTAGATTCAACTTAAATTCACTAGAAGAAAGAAGAATTAAGTCTAACATCACATTCCTGTATAATCTCTTTCATAACAAGATAGACTGTGGCGAGATACTAAAATTAATAAATTTATATGTACCTGTTACAGTAATAGATATTTTATTCGCCGTCAAATAAAATGTAGTACAAATATATACGCCTTCAAAATAAACCTACTCCTCGCCAACTCTTCAACACCAATGCCGCCTTCCTCGTCTTTGGTCGAGGTGTCGCCCCTCTACCGTCCGCCTTGCGGTTTCTCCCGTAACACTCGGCCATTCTGAAAATAATTAATGCCCTCATTAATCGTACCGCCTAACTTTCTAGGAGATCCAACAGGTCTAGCCTATCGGTCTCTGCGTCAGTGTCGCCATTCACACTATCGTTCTCGCCACTCATGTATTCACCACTACCCATACATGGATATCGCCTCAAAGAATCAACCGCCACAGTCGCCTGAAAACGCTTATAACCCCTAACGCCCTTTATCGCCTCTATCAGGTACCTGTCATTGGGCATCACCTTAGCAATCCGATAGGGTCCATCGAATTTGTTCGCCAATTTATGACTCACTTTGGTATCCGCCCTGTCAGTAGCTGCGGCCCGCCAAAGAACTAAGTCGCCCACTTTATACGCAGTCGCCTTCCTCCGCCGCTTATCGTAATGTGCCTTCATTTGTGCCGCCGCTCGTTTCAGGTTCGCCGCCGCTTCGCCTGTAACTGATCACTCATCTTGGAAGTAATCACACCAAAGTCGTCACCCTGGTGTTTTCCTTCCTGGCCATGTGGAAAGGGTCTTTGCTCGCCCGAGAGCCCCGCCTCGCTCAGTGGGTTTCCGCCACCCTCGTTGGGGTCTCCGCCACCCTGGTTTCCGCCACCATCGCCGCCACTAGCTAGTGTTTCGCCTGAATTGGCCAAATCAGTTACCACGCCATTCTGATGGAAGA